GTAACCACTACGTTACCAGAGCTCCTTTCATGTAGACGTAGTATGTAAGAAATAAGTGATACTATGCTTTTAAAAAGTTAACTTAGCAGTCAATACCATATACTTTGCTTTCTGTCCCAATTCTTTTCAAATAGGAGAATTACAGGTAGATATTATTTATTTGCTATAGCATAAGTTTGTCTCTCAGTAGACTATGAACCATTGGGTGTTGAAATGATACTGAAGAGAAAAAGCATACGTTGATGTCTATTGCTGACATTAGTGTTTCTTGGTTTCTTCTCCAAACCATTATCAGGTAACTATTTTTTTCTTGACTCTGTTAGAACCAAGTCATTAAACTGCCTTCCCCTTCAGTCTGGCAAAAATTTATCTTCTAAGATTGTTAATGATCAAAAGTGTATTCTATATGATTCACATTAAGAAAGAAAGAAACAAAAAAAACCCTCAATTTTAACTTTTGTTAATTTACTTAAATTCATCAAATATAAATACTGTCTATTAAAATGCATTGTTGTCTTATATACCATTAAGAAAGAAAATGCCATTAGTTATAAGTTTAACTCTATTTTAGGGACATTAAAAAGATAAAGAATGCTGATTGCTGTTGTAAAGTGCCATCAAGTTGGTTTCGACTCATAGCAACCCTGTATAGGGTTTCCAAGAAGCCTACATTGAGGACAAACTGACCTTGAGGTTGAGTGGTTTTCCTACAGCGCCACACATATTCTGTGGCAGTAGTAAATTTATTTTAGGAAATACATGGAATTTTATGGATAACTAGGGCTCAAACATAGCAACAGTTTTGAGGATGACGCAGGAATGGGCTTTGTGTCATTCTGTTTGCATAGGGTTGCTGTGTGTTGGAACTGACTGACACCTGACAACAACAATAGGGATTATAAATTGTTGGCTTACTTTTGAGAGTAGAATTGCAAACAAACTAGAAAGCCAAATCTGGTTAGATATATACACTTTGAATGCTTTATTAATGTTCATATATTTAATTAATACTTACGTTTTCAGGGTGCAAATGTAATGCAGCATGATACTAAGTTGCAGGAATTTCTTTGGGAAGCATTTGAACAGTTTATCTGCAGAAACTATTTAGCTATATTTTTAAAAACCACCACCAGCCAAGCCTGTTGCTGTCCAGTTAATTTCTATTCCTGGTGTTCCTGTAGGACAAAGTAGAATTGCCCTGTAAGGTTTCCAAGGATTGTGATCTTTATGGATGCAGACTGCCACAGTTTTCTCTCAAGGAGTGGCTGGTGGGATTGAACTGCCAAATTTTCATTAGTAGCTGAGCACTTAACCACTGCACCACCAAGCCTCCTCAACTCGAATAGGAAGAAGCAGTTGCTAACATGGTGTTTTTTTATCTCTGATTTTGGTAGGGTTTTCACAACATGGTATGATTGGTGTAACTCAACCACGAAAAGTAGCTGCCATATCTGTTGCTCAGAGAGTTGCTGAAGAAATGAAATGTGCTCTGGGATCCAAAGTAGGATACCAAGTTCGTTTTGATGATTGCAGCTCTAAGGTACAAACACTTTGTTGGTATGCTTCTAGTACTGTAAACTTACTGAACGGGGAGTTAAAGTTATGAAGAATTTAAAATTTTAATACCTTATATTTTAAAGAAACAAAGTCTCAGACTAGAATTAGTTTGTGTTGTCTATTGTTAATGCTTTTCTGTGAAGAGTATTTTCCCTCAATTCTCCCTCCTCAATTAGCTGATGACAGTTATGTTTACTTTTAATAGGTTTCTCTTATGTTTTTCAGCTGTAAGAATTTTTGCATTTATATTTGTGTGTGTACTTGAATTCAGTGGAAATCTGGCAATTAACAAAATCATTAAGAAAGTATTAAGCATCTTCTGTCTGCATAGTGGAGTCCAGGTGTGGCTCTGGGGGTTAATATGCTGGACTGCAAGGTCTGTGTGAACCGCACGGTTGGTGATTCAAGCTTACCAACCGCTCCTCAGAAACCCTTATGCAGGGTCGCTATAAGTTGGAACTCACTTGGTGGCACTTAACAAAAACAACAATCTGCATAGTACTAATGAGCTTAAAATGTTTTTTTTTAATAGTTAGTAGTTATAATTTATATCCATTGGGATTTACATATGGTTTTGTAATACAAATGGCTATCAGTGTGGTACAGAATGAGTTTCCACAAAATGCTATCTTGGCCTTCCTAGTGGTCACTGCTGGGAACTTTTCCGGCTCTCTTTTCTTCCCTTGCTAGTTCCCCTAGCCTTTGGATCTTTCTCTTGACTTGGTCTAATGCTAGTCTAGTGAGGCTGTATTTTATGGAAGAATGGGTAAATGTTCATTTTTCTCTAAAATGCTGTTCTATTTCTGAAGTTATTTTTCTCTCCATTGCTGGCCAGTTTGAAATTGAAAAAAGTTGTGAGTTGCTTTTTCAGATGGCAGAGTCTGTTGATTATGATGTCCAAGATACCACTCTAGATGGCAAAATGAAAGAAATATTTCCTATTTTCTCTGTTTCTCAGTACCCCTAAATTGTCTAAAACAGTGGCTTAGACAAAGAGAATGAATTCCATTTCATTATTTCCCCATAGTTTGTTCACTTGAAACCATTGTGTTACTTTACCACTTTTCACTGAATGTATTGTGTTTCTATTGCCTCCACTTGTTGCTTTATCTTGCAACATCCACCTTAATTCCTAATTTCTGTCTCTGTACAGTTAACACTTTTCATAGTTTTCTGTTTTTGTTTTGGACTGTTTAATGTTTTGTTTTGTTTAGTCAGATTAGTTTGATCACTTCATGTCTACATTTTGCAGAAAAATTTAACTGGGAGAAGTAATAAAATTCTGTAGTGCTGTAATTTGGTGCTCTGCTCTTTGAACATTAGGAAACAGCAATCAAATACATGACTGACGGATGTTTACTGAAACATATTCTAGGAGATCCAAATCTTACTAAATTCAGTGTCATTATTTTGGATGAAGCCCATGAGAGAACTCTAACTACAGTGAGTATTATAATATGTTGGGGGTTTTTTAGATAGTTTTACTTCTTGGGATAGCTTTTTACTATATAGAGAATTGCCTTTTCTTACATTTTAACCAATTCAAATAGGAATTACTTGTTTAGAATACTAATATATTTAAAATAACCTGGCAGTTACATTTACTTTTTTTCAGGACATCTTATTTGGTTTATTAAAGAAGCTATTTCAGGAGAAGTCTCCTAACAGAAAAGAACATTTAAAGGTGGTGGTGATGTCAGCAACTATGGAATTAGCCAAGCTCTCTGCATTCTTTGGAAACTGTCCAATATTCGATATACCTGGAAGACTTTATCCTGTCAGAGAGAAATTCTGCAATTTGATTGGCCCACGCGACAGAGAAAATACTGCATATATCCAAGCGGTACTTCTTGGCATCCTTTTGATAACTTTTTTGAATCTGTGATTTTAGTTCATTGAATTGTTTGCGATAATTTGTTTGTTCCCTTTACTATTTTTAGTGACAGCTGTTGTGGGTCTGGGAACTTTTGGGTGTCTAAATTTATTTTTTTTGTGGAGGAAGTCAGGGAACTGGTGGGACTGGGGGCAACTGTATTTCAAATAGCATATTATAATTGTGTGTCTTGTTTTAGATTGTGAAAGTGACCATGGATATCCATTTGAATGAAATGGCTGGAGACATCTTGGTTTTTCTGACTGGTGAGCATTCTGTTTCAGATTTAAACATGTTCACTGTATGAAAACGGAATGACAAGAGGATAGGATAGCTACCTCATTGTTGGCAATCTGGACTTTCCTCACCTGTTGCCCTCTCTTTTTAGGTTTTTCTGAATAGTTTTAAATATAAGATATACAAGATAATTCTACACTGCCATAAGAAATATCAGACTTGTTAGTAATTATGTGTAAAACACACTGACCTTTTCATAAAAAGATGTTGAATGCTGAAGTATTATTTTTATTAGTCTATTTTATGTAGAGCTATTACCAGACTAAAACAGTTCTGTGTCTCAATGATTAATTCCATTGTTTCAAAACACATTCCACCAGCGTCTTTATTCTTTGAATGGTAGGATGGTGCTGTGTGATAGCAGTACATAAGGTGTGGAATTCATGGCTTAGAGACAAGCTTTTGGCAGTTTTATGGAGGTCAAAAATAGAACAGTTAAATCTTATACTAATGTGACTCTTCAAGTAGCAGCATCCTGCTAACAGGAATGAATCATTTCCTTGCTCACCTCCTACTTTGTCTTATACTGTCAGAAGTGAAACACTGTAACAGTTTTTGCCTTTTCCTAATTACGTAACAATTTTGATACACATCTAAAGACAGTATCTCTGGTGGTAGTGGTGGTGGTTATGTGCCCTAGAGTCCGTTCTGACTCAAAGCGACCCTATACAGGGTTTCCAAGGCTGTAAATCTTTACCGGAGCAGAAAGCTTCATCTTTCTCCCGCAGAACAGCTGGTAGTTTCGAACTGCTGACCTTATGTGAAAAATTTAATTTTGCTGCGCCTTCCTTAGGTACTCTTATTAACAGGACGAAAGGGTTGGAGGTTATAGACATTTTTGTTCCCTTGTTGTTGTTCGGTGCCATTGAGTTGGTACTTTAGATACTTAAATTTTTTGTGATAGATTTTTATTTCTGTTTTGAATTTTATTGTGATTTGGTACGTGTGTGGTAAAATTGTTTTGTGTTCATCTCGTTTAGATCAAATGAAAGATTTAAAATACTTGATATATAGAACTAATTTCTATCTAGGGACTTTTTGTTTTCAGTCTTAAGTTAATTTTGCTGTTCTATTTCTGAAGTTATTTTTCTTTTGATTGCAGGCCAGTTTGAAATTGAAAAAAGTTGTGAGCTGCTTTTTCAGATGGCAGAGTCTGTTGATTATGATTATGATGTCCAAGATACCACTCTAGATGGCTTGCTGATATTGCCGTGTTATGGATCTATGACAACAGGTAATTCCTCATTAGAATAGAAATGTTGATTGATTTGAAGGAAAAAAAAAAAAAACTTATCAGAGGTAAATTTCTAAAATGAAGAGTATAATTTCTTGATAGTAATACCATAATTTGCCACACTACAGAATTTTTAAAAAATCATATATATTCAGATATGAGGGGGCTTCAGAAAGTTCATGGGAAAATGGAATAAAGGGCTAATTTTCCCATGAACTTTATGAAGCCCCTGATGATGCCTAAGGTTAAGCATAGTGAATAGTTTTACATTTGAGTTGCTGTGTGTTATGTAGTCTACTTTTCATTAATTACCCTATTTTGTGAATTCAAAGAGCAAGTACAAATTCTTACTGTGTTCAAGTTTTACCATGGTAAATTTGGTTGAAAGAGATATAGCATTCTTTTGTAAAACTAGTTGATTATGGAATTTGACTTGTAAAACTTAGGAAAACTGACCTCGGCTTCCTATTTGTAGTTTGTCTGGGATTAGCTGTTAAGTTTTTTATATTTGAGGTGCAGTTTGCTTTGGGTTGAGCTGGTGATTCCTCTTGAGAGTAACAAAAGAAGTTTAGGAATATATGTATTAGTAAATAACCATAGACTGTATGCTATTTTCAAGTATGTTTTGTGACATTTTAAGCCCTTTTTCTCAGTATTATAAGCACAGATCTCTATTTTAATACCTTCAAAGGTATTTTTTAGGGGCACTATTAGTAGCGTAGTGGTTACGAATCGGGCTGTGAACTGCAAGGTCAGCAGTTAGAAACTACCAGCTGTTCCGTGGGAGAAAGAGGAGGCTTTCTGTTCCCGTAAAGATTTATAGCCTCGGAAACCCTGTACAGGGTCGCTATGAGTCGGAACCGACTCCATGGCACGTAACAACAACAACAATTAGTTATTTTGGAGTCCTGGTGTGGCGCTGTGGGTTAATGCGCCAGACTGCAAAGCTGTTTGAACTGAAAGGTTGGCGGTTCAAGCTCACCAGCTGCTCCTTGGGAACCCCATACAGGGTCGCTATGGGTCGGAATCGACTCGACGACACTTGACAACAACAATTAGTTATTTTAGGTTTTCATTGTTTTCTGGAAACTTGCTCCCCTGACTTAGAATTTACATTGCAACTGATAAAAGAATTCAAACTCTCCATATGGTTACTTACCACAGTATAGTATATTTTCTTCTACATTTCAGTAAATCATTTCTTTCTTTTCTTCATATCTTACACATTGAAAATAATGTTCTGTATTTAATGCCATGTTTAATTTCCTGCTATTGACCTTGTATACCTCAAATCTAATGTATTTTGTTCCTATTCATTTGTGTTTTGATGTTACGATGCTAGTAATGTTGTTGCTAAGTGCTGTTGAGTTGGTCCAGCTCATAGCTACCCTGTATAGGGTTTCCAAGGCTATATATCTTTACAGGAGTAGAAAGCCTCATCTTTCTCCCATGGAGCAGCTGGTGGCTCAAACCTTGTCCATTGCTTCTTGTTCAGAGCCACCATGCTCCCTGATGCTAGTGATAGTCTTCTTGAAATACTGTCCTCTGAGTTAATGTTTAATTATTTGGTTTTCATGATGACTTTTTCTCTGAGGCTGCTTCCTCAAATTGATTCCAAATTATAGCTACCCTGTACAGGGATTCCAAGGAGCAGCTGGTGAGTTTGAACTGCTGACCTTGCGGTTAGCAGTCCATTGCTTATCCTACAGTGCCACACTAGGACCTCATTAAAATCAACTAAATTTGGATTTCATTTTGTTTGCAAACATACTGCTTACCCAAAATAAACCCCAGGCTACCACTGGGCATCTCATGGAGATATAAGACACCTTATTTAGAAATGATCACTGTATTCCTTGAATTCTTAGAAAATGCCTTGTTATGCCTATGGAATGATTCATTACTTTAGCTTACATTTGGAGTTGCTATTTTTTTAAGCTGAGAAGTTCGTACTTAATTCTTTTCTAATGTCAAACAACAAAATTAAACATGTATTTGCCAAGTTTAGTAAAGCCACTGATTCTACATTCTGGCTGTAGATACTTGTTCCCTTGTGCCAGTGCATATATTTTGGGCAGGTCCCCTTTTAGCTAGTCAGCTGCCATTTCAGCCACATTTCCTTATTATGAGAGAGGATAAATGCGTGTGGTATCTTTTTCCTCACAGTTGGATATCTCTTTTAGGAAAATCTTTCTTGATGTCTTTATAGTACTTGTGACACCGATGATATATGTTGTTGTTGTTAAGTTTCCAATGAGTGATTGTGAGCTTGAACTGCTTGCTTTGCAGTTCAGATGGCTTTGCAATTTGGTGCATTAACCCACAGCGCCACACCAGGATCCCTATTAAAGTGTAAGCTTAGATAAATGTTTCTTTATAGTTGCCTCTCTTCAACTCTTGTGCTATTTCTTGACTCCTATGGTAGGCAGCAGCATTTGCAAGGCAAAGTGGAGCCAGTGGACTCATGCACATACATACATATACTCTCATCGGGTTTGCTTCTCAATTGGACAGTCTGATTATGAAGGACTGCTGAACGTGTCTGCCTACTCCACCCTCTTGCCCCAGAAGTCTTCCCTCATCTATTTTGTGTTCATCTGTATTTGCTGTTACCTTAACCTGAGCTTGTTTCCCTTTTGTCTCCCAGTTCCCTGCTGGTAACCTGCTGTTTTGTTTGTGTAGTGCAGCCAGCTCTAGGAAAGCCTTTTATGCAGCTTGCTTTTATCTCTTTGTCATTCAAACCACATTGTGCCTCTTGTGTTATAGTTATTCTATCCCCTCTAGGAGATTGTAAACTTCCTGAGGGCAAGTACTAAATAAATGTTGAAGATGTCCTGATCATATATTTGTTAAACTTGAGTTCCAGATTTTTCACTTTGTGCTAGACATTCTGTTAATGTCTTGCATCAAATTCTGTGGGTAGAATTTTAGTTGCTTTTTTCTGTGCAATCTCCCTTTGACTTTTCTCTTTTGTTAAAGCTATTTTAGTTCTTCTATTTCTTTAGGGGACAACCAAACCCCACAAAAATTTATAAACTGAAATATGCCATTTGTTTCATGAATGACAACTATTTATTTGTAATTAAGGGGTTTAGCAGTAAAAATAATCATCTAATTCATTGTCTTTTAGGCTTTTTGGGTCAGGGATGATACACATTTTATTAAAAAGATGATAAGAGCTATATGGCCTTTTTCTCTAGAAAAAACATTCGTATTCACTTTTATGATCAATGTTGTCCAGTTACCTTCTGGCATTGACTGTTGTTAATACAGAGCAATCTGAGACCAACCTGTTTTGTTTTTTACTTTACTTGTGATTTGCTTTTTCTGTCTGGTTTCTTCAAAATTTCTTTGTTTATTTTCAGAGTTCATCAGTTTTAGTTAGATGTATTTTTCAATTTTGAGTGTTTTATATTAAACTATACTGAAATTTGATAGACTGTTTCAGAAAGAAACTTTATGTAGGTATAATTTATATAGTTTTTAAATGCCTATTTAAAGTGTATAGTTCAATGAGTTTTGACAAACACACACGTATGTATATATATATATACATATATATATACACACACACACATACATAGCGTAGTGGTTACGAATCAGGCTGTGAACTGCAAGGTCAGCAGTTTGAAACTACCAGCTGTTCCGCGGGAGAAAGATGAAGCTTTCTGTTTCCGTAAAGATTTACAGCCTCGGAAACCCTGTACAGGGTTGCTTTGAGTCAGAACCGACTCCAGGGTACACAACAACAACAAACAAACATGCATATAACCTGTTGTTGTTGATTCCTTTCTGACTCATGTGTCCCTACTGGACAAAATCAAACTGTTCCGTAGGGTTTGTTTCCAAGGCTGTAAGTCTTTATAGAAGCAAACAGTCACATCTTTCTCTTCTAGAGCAACTAGTGAATTTGAACCACCAGTCTTTCATTTCTTAAATAAGCGCTTTAAACACGGCTTAACCAGGGTTAAACCACGCTTTAACCGGGATCCTTTGTCTGTGTATATTTGTCCACTTATATATACATAAATATATTTTCAATATTCTTGTTTCATAATAGACTTCAGAATATTTTTCTGTGTCTGCCAGTTTTCACTCTTCTTGTTAATAAAACCCTTGTACTTTACCAACTTTGAGACGGGTTGGGTAAAGTATATCAGAATCTCCAGTATGTAGGAAAATCAGGGAATGGTATAGTCAAAAGAATTGCTGTATCTTAATGTAAGTATTCAGTTTTCCCCTTGCTTCCAGAAAGTGAGAGCTTGCTTTAGAACTATAAATACATGTACATAGCATTTTCTCAACCATTTATAAACATATACAAAATTGGTATGTGCACTGTTAAGGAACATGAGTAAAATCTACAATGTGAAATAAATGTGAGTCTTGTCAAAACAGCAGTTTTAAAACTTTTTAGTTGATATGCTTACCAAAACTATAAATGAAACTAAAATTTAATATGAACCGAAGACTAAAACAAACGAGGGACTTTTAGAAATAGGCTGATTGAAAGCAGTCTTGATCATGGATGTTTATTCCAAAAGGACATTTCTGATTTATGTGAAATATAAGGGTAATGGGCGGTTTTAAAAGTGGAAAATCTTGTGTTATTTATATAATACAGTTTTTGTTTATCAGTTCATTTAAGAACTACTTATTGAATGTTATTATGGATCAGGCATTGTTCTAGATAGTAGGCATATACCTTGAACCAAAGAGTTGTTGTTAAGTGCTGTCAAGTCGATCCCAACCCATAGCGACCCTGTATAGGGTTTCCAAGGAATAGCTGGTGAGCTTGAACCACCGACCTTGCAATTCAAACGGCTTTACAGTCTGACTCAGCCCACAGCGCCACACAAATAAGTAGTAACTTAGTGTCAAAACTTATAATTTGACCTATACAATAGTGTATAATTATCCCTTGGTATCCACAGAAGAGAGTCCTGGTGTGGCGCTGTGGGTTAATGCGCCTGACTGCAAAGCCATTTGAACTGCAAGGTTGGCGGTTCAAGCTCACCAACTACTCCTCAGAAACCCTACACAGGGTCGCTGTGGGTCGAGATCGACTCGACGGCACTTAACAACAACAACATCCAAAGAAGATTGGTTCTAGTACCCCCACAATTACCAAAACCCACTGATGCTCAAGTCCCTTACACAAAATGACATGTTACAGGTATGCGTTGCCTAACATCCATGATGTAGTCTATGAAATAGGATGTTAAATGATTTGGACAGTGTGAGAACATCATATTAAAACCTTAATGGGAGTCTGCTTCTAATTATTTTCATTGGTGGTGTTGCCACAGCTGACAAAGGCTGAAAGAACTGGCAGCAGCAGAGTGGGAGGAAGTGAGTGGGGAGGGAGCAGAGTGTGCCCTGCCCTATCCTGCCTGCTGTTCTGCTCACCTGAGCAACAGAAGTCCACGGCCATCACCATGGCGAGTTCACCAGACAAAGTCTGAGAGACCGCACCTAGAGCCTTGTCCGCTTCCCTATGTGCCTGCGCCCTATACATGATCCAGTGTTGCAGGAGTCTGGGTTTGAGTGTCTTTAAAACCATTAAGGGAAAATAATACAAGGGGTGCTGCTTTTAGAAAAAAAACCTTTATGGGGAGTCGTGATGTGGCACTGTAGGACAAGTATTTCACAAGGAAATAAGTGCTATAAAGGTTAACTTCTAGAAATGTATCTATAAAGATGTTTTGGAAAAAACGTAGTGTAAGCATAGTGGTTAAGAATTGGGCTGCTAATCTCACAGTCAGCAGTTCGAAACTATCAGCTGTTCCGCAGGAGAAAGATGAGGCTTTTTGCTCCTGTAAAGATTTACAGCCTTGGAAACCCTATACAGGGTCACTGTGAGTTGGAATCGACTCCATGGCATACCACCACCACCACCACTACCACTATATGTAAATCATAGGCTCTCTTCTCCAGTAACGATGTACAGCCTCTGAAACCTATTTCCAGACTTGCTATGAGTCAGTACCGACTTGAGGGCACACAACAATAGCATATGTAAATCTTGGATAGGCCACTTTACCTGTCTGTTAGATGAGAGGGTTGGCCTAATTTCATGATTTAAAGCTGTTCATCGTGTTGCTCCTTTTCTTCTGTAACTGTGCACTTGTTTCAATCTTAATAGTCCAGTTTTGGTCTGTTGTATATTGGGAATAATAGAGATCTTTGTAACATTTTATTTGAAAATGGATTTTTACTTCTTATTTCTTAAGATTTTCTTGACTGTAGGAAAGAAGCCAATTAGGGGTTGCTGAAGTAGAAAAAAGTGACTTTTCAACATAGTACTAGTATATCTCAAGGAGATCAAATGGCAGTCAGGCATTTAAAAATATATTTGTTTCTTTATAAAGTTGTACCACTGTGGTGTTGTTAAATACCATTGAGTCATTTCTGACCCTTAGTGACCCTGTATAGAGTTTCCGAGGAGCAGCTGGTGAGCTTGAACTTCCAACTTTGCAGTTCAGATGGCTTTGCATTCTAGTGCATTTACCCACAGCACCACACCAGGATACCACTGTACTAAAATATAATTGTTGTTGGTGCTAAGTGCTGTCGAGTCGGCTCCAACCCATAGTAACCTTGTATAGGGTTTCCAAGAAGCAGCTGGTGAGCTTGAACCGCCGACCTTGCAGTTCAAATGGCTTTGCAGTCCGGCGCATTAACCCACAGCTCCACACCAGTATATATATGAGAAATAATAAATACGTACCAAATAAAAGGAGTCCTGGGTATGACGCTGTCGGATAAGCACTACACTGTTAACTGCAACATTGGCAGTTCATAGCTTCCAGTCACTCCTTCCGAGGAGTGTGAAGTCACTGTGAATCAGAACCGACTCCATGATACTTAACAACAACAACAAAATGAAAAGTCTAAAGGGATGTAGTGAAAAATAGAAGTAGAAATATACTAATCATTTCTTTTCATATCTCAGTGGATTGGCATGAATACTTGAAATGATCACTCCTGACTCTGGAGATCATTGGCATGAATGATCTACCCAACTCTTTTGCTTGCAGTTTCTTGACATCTTAGACTCATGTGGTGATTTTCTTGAGCCTACTTCAACCACCTATTCACATACTTAGAGAATTTGTCAGCACCATATTTTCTGTAGCCTCAATTTTAATCACCTATTCTCTGTTTTCCCCAACTCACTGTACTGTTCCTAATGTAACAATTTTCAGAACGCACTGAGACCTGTCCTTTACCAACTTTCATTTTCCTTCTTTCCTCATACTGTAATCATTTCTTTGTAAACATTCTGAACTCTCTTGCCCTGTTCTCTGTTTAACCTGGCAGGAGAGCAAGTTTGGCTAAACCTATCTTTCTACTTAATTCACAGCTGCTAGGAATCTAGAAGGGAGCCCTGGTGGTTGCAGTGGTTAAAGTACTCGGCTACTAACAGAAAGGTCAGTGGTTGAAACCCACCAGCTGCTCTGCGGGAGAAAGATTTGACATTTTACTTACGTAAAAATTGATAGCCTCGGAAACCCTATGGGTAGTTCGACTCTGTTGTACAGGATCACTCAAAAATCAGCTCTGTGACAGTGGGTTACAAACCTAGAAGTACTCTCTTTCCAGTTCTCATGGCTGAGTTTGTTATTTTCTCTATTTAGATTAATTTTCTCTTTATGTACATTGTTGTTGTTGTTAAGAGCCATTGAGTCAATTCTGACCCATAGCAACCCTGTAATGGGTTTCCAAGGAGTGGCTGGTGAGCTTGAACCGCCGACCTTGCAGTTCAAACGGCTTTGCAGTCTGATGCATTAACTCACAGCACCACACCAGTCACTTCCATATGGTTCCAAAATTTATTTTTCCTCTTTGCAAGAGACTGGCCTAGTCAAATTGACAGTCTTGAACCTTGTCCCAAATTTACAGGAGAATCTGATTGGCTCAGCTTGGGGGAGATGTTCATCCCTAGTGCTAAACACTTCTAGAATATAAGTATTTGAATAGGTGGTTGAGGTAGGTGGAAGGAAAGATCACATGAGCCTAAGATGGCCAGAGAGGCAAAGTACCATACTACAAGCATTGCTGGTTGAGGCCCACCCCTCAGAATGTATGGAAATTGGAAATGGTTGCGGTGTTCCTTCTTTAAAGAGGTAGTCATGAGTTGGGCAGACCCCCCACCCCCGTTCCCTAAAAGTCACAACTGCTTAGCTAATTAGTCTTTAAGGCAGAGGAGAGGTCCTTAATCTAGATATTAAGGACACTCTAAATTTGTTTGAAAAACATTGGGGGGCCTTTTACTGGAGAAGTTCATAGTTTTTATATGAACTACATAAAAGATTCTGCTAGAGAATATCTTTCAGCAGTAATAATCTATGATTTCTTGAATCTAGAAATCTTAACAATGAAAGGTGAAGAAACATTTGTTTTTACTGTTAGATTTGAAGTTCATTAGATGACAACAAAACTTTTAATGAAAAGGATTTCTTGAAAACTTGTAAATTGGTATGTTTTCTTTATATATATTTTAGATCAACAGAGGAGAATATTTTTGCCACCTCCACCTGGAATTAGGAAGTGTGTTATATCCACTAATATTTCTGCAACTTCTTTGACAATAGACGGAATCAGGTACAGTTTTTGAAATTTCTCTTAAAGTCAAGGGTAGTACTTAGTAATTTATAAGGCATTATTGTTTGTTTGTTTGTTTGTTTATTTGTGCTCTCTGCTAATTCTCTCTTTGCCTACTTTCTGTAAGTTCTTAATTTATAATCACCTATGCTTTTTAAATAATCAGTTGATTGTTGTCAGCATGAAATTGAAGTAGGAGGTGCAAACTGTATTTCTGTTCACACTTTTTAATTACTTGGGAACTTCAGACCTTCTCTTCCCAAGTTTAAGATTATGTGCAATGCTTTATGGGTTTCACTGAATGGGAAGCTGAGTGTGTTTTTCCACATTCACATTACCAGCACATATATTCCCCTCTTACCTTGCAGCATCACTTGGTATAGTAAGCTTTGTTCATCCAAGTATTTATCTGGAGGTGTTTTTTTTCTAGGTTTTTACATTTTTGTGAAGGGGAACTGTTGTGCAGCTCTCTTACAGTTTTGGGATATTGTAAATGATGTCATCATATTTTAAGAGTTATAATCCAGAGAAACACCTGGACATTTTATCTGGGCTGATAGTTAATGTTAAATTCTTTTAGACTGTTTGTTGAACAGTCTAAATATCATTTGGGATATTTAGCTTTTACCCAGTATATTCTACATCGTAAATCTGTTGGTCAGCGATAGAAAGGCTGGACCTGAGTCGTAAATACCCTGCATATTTCTTGAGGATAAAATGATCATCTAGTTCTGAGAGGAAGTTTAATTTCCTCTGCTTTGGAAATAATGGCTTCACTATGGACTTAGGGGAGCAGCTCAACTGAATAAACTGACCTGCAATTTTCTGTTTCTAGCAAGTCTGTTTGTGAATGTTCCCTTACTAAATGATAGATTGACTACAATTCTTTACTTAAATTCTCTCCTTTACTTGCTTTTCATTTAATTGTGTAAAAATGGCATGTTATGTTAAAGGCTCATTGGAGTTAGATTTTGATCCTGTTAGAATAGTCTAGAGCTGACTTGCAAGTTTTATTTTTTTTCTCTCTCTCTTTTATTCATGCGCTGAATTTGTTCAGTTTTAAGTTAAAAAAAAGTTGTTGAGAAAAAAATATATTATTTTTACTAGTCATACAAATTCTAGAGCTTTACATATATTCAATATATGCTTGTGAGAAGGGTATTAACGTTCCCAGTAAGGGTATGACAAATACATAGTTCATTTATGTACAAGAAAAATAAAGATGAAAAAAACAGACCTGTGTACAAATATCATGTCAAACCTTTATGTATTTGTGGGTGTACTCCCATGCCAATTCAGCTGATGTATCTGTCCATGTCTTGTGATGTATTTTTTTTTGAGGTGAACTTCACATGACATAAAATTAACTGTTTAAAAGTAAACACTTCTGTTGGCATTTTGCACATTTACAATGCTGTCAGTCATTACATCTTGTCTAGTTCCAAAACATTGTCATCCCAAAATAAAGCCCCATACCCAGTAAGCAAGGAACCCTCATGATGCAGTGGTTAAGCATCGTGGCTGCTACCGAAAGGTTGGCAGATGAGAGCCACTCAGTGGGAGAAAGACCTGGCAGTCTGCTTTCATCAAGATTACCGTCTGGGAAACCATATGGGGTGGTTCTACTCTCCCACAGATCACTATGAATCAAAAAACACATAACTACATCACCCATTACGTAGTTACTTTCCATCTTCGGTCTTTCTAACAATTAACTCTCCGTTTCTATAGATTGGTTGTTTTGGGTATTTCATATAATGGGTGACTTAACTGTGTTTAGTTTCTTGCACGTCACATGGTGTTTTGGAAAGTCATTCGAGTAGTAGCATGTATCAGTACTTCATTCTTTTTGTGGCTGAATGCTTTCCCATTGTATGTAAATATCATAATTTGTTTATCCATTAATTTTGATAAACATTTGGGTTGTTTCCATCTTTTGGCTGTTGTAAATAATACTGTTGTGGGCATTCGTAAAGAAGTATTTGCCCCAGTACCTGTTTTCACTCCTTTTAGGTATTTATATACCTAGGAGTGCAAATGGTATGTCACAGGGTAATTCCATGTTGAATTTTTGGAGGAACTGTCATTTTCATTTCCTTTCAGCAATGTTAGGGTTCTATTTACTTAACTTTCACATTTTATACCAAGCATAAAAGGCTTTATATACTAGTGACTTTGTTAGAAAGAAGAATTAGAAATGCTTAAAATTTCACAAGTCTTTCTTTACGTCCCAGAAATATAATTTGTTTCATTCTCCTTAGGTATGTGGTAGATGGTGGCTTTGTGAAACAATTAAATCACAACCCAAGATTAGGGTTGGACATCCTGGAGGTGGTTCCAATTTCAAAGTAAGTCACTGTATTAAGTCATTTTGTTCAATAAACAGTTGACTAGATGGTTTCTAGTTGGTTTAGGAATAGGAAGTTGAATTGCTTGAGACATTTACCATAAAACATTTTGGGAACTTCTTTTTCCCCTCTCCCCTTTTAAGGAGTGAGGCATTACAGCGAAGTGGACGAGCTGGTAGAACTTCCTCAGGAAAATGCTATCGGATCTATAGTAAAGATTTTTGGAACCAGTGTATGCCTGACCACGTAATACCTGAGATTAAGAGAACTAGCTTGACATCTGTAGTTCTGACCTTAAAGTGCCTTGCCATACATGATGTTATAAGGTATGTAGATGCAACTTGAAAGGAAACATTTTCTACAGTGAGGCCAGGTTATTCCCCAGAAGGTTTTTTTGAAGGGCAACATTTATCTAAGGACAAAGTTGAGAAGGCATGAGAAGGTGGGTGGAATGGAAATCGGAATCACAGGGAGGAAGTGGGATAACTTGTTACATGGAGGAGATTGCATTCATTGAGATGCAGCCAATTCGTTGAATGTTCAACTGATGATCTTATCTTGTTTGTTGACCTTCACTCAATTTACAATAAAAAAGTACTTTTGAAATACTTGACTCTCCTTGTAGAGTTGAGGTTAACATGTTTTGTAGATTCAACTAAACCAAAATCAAAGGTTTCCTTGCCATTTATTGAGATTTGTCCCTTTCTGCTATTTTTAGCCTTGCCTTATGGGCTGCCTTGTGTTAATATTTATTTAGATCCCTGTTGACCATTGCTTACAGGATGGGAAGTATATAATAAGTGGCTCTAGTTCCAGTTAGAAAGTGGGTTTTTTTGGCAGGATTTTTTATATGTGACCAGTAATATTTTGCTTTCATGAAGCTTAAATTATATTGGGTAAACAAAATTCATGCACATGAAGTGAAGAATAGTAGTAACATGTTAAATTAATCAAATGTTAAACTCTGTATTTACTTGTTATATGTATAGATACGACTTTTTTTTTTCAGCTTTTTATTGTAAATTGAGTAAGGGTATTGAGTAAAGCTTAACAGTTTTACATTCAACAAATCATATACTTTGCTTCATTACATGGTTGGAATCCCCTCCATGTACCAACAGTTAACTATATTTACCTATATTCACTTTAACTATTGCATTCCTCCCTGTGTCTCCCACCACCATCTTTCCTCTGCCAGTGTCCCTCTTGTATATTGCTGGCCCTATCACCCACGCTAACATGTGTCTACCTTCTTGCCTGTGAATAACCTCCCCCTTTAACCATCATAGATTGTTTCTTTTATCAGTGGAACTTTTTAACTTCTTATAACATTGGTCCCATATAGTATTTATCTTTTTGTGATTGACTAATTTCACTCAGCATAGTGTCCTCCAGGTTCAGCCCTTTTATGATGTGTTTCACAGATTTATCATTATTCTTCAGTGTTTTGTAGTATTCCATTGTATTTATGTACCAAAGTTTGTTTACCATTTTTCTGTTGATTGGTATTTAGGCTGTTTCCATCCTTTTGATGTATCTCTTATAGACAGCATATTGAAGAACTCTGTTTTCTTATCCATTTTGCCCTCTAGGTCTCTTGACTGGTACATATAATACATTTACATTCAGTGTAATTACCAGTAGGTTTGAATTGATTGCTGTCACTTTTCTGTCTGTTTTTATGTGGTGCTGCTAGATTCTTTGTTCCACATAATTTTCTATGCTTGGTTAATTTTGTTTGTAGGTTTTCTATTCATTTTCATTTCTATTGTGTAAATGTTTACCAAATCTCATTTTCCTCTTTTTTAATATTGATGTGCAGGTGTGTTATTTTCCTTTTGGCTTACCATGTAATTTATTAATTTTTTCCCTGCATAAAACAGTCTTTTATCTTGAAATCTATTTGACTTCCTTACCATTTGGTAGTTCTCTGTCTTTATATTCTATTCCTTCTTTTTGCCTTGTAATTGACTTCATTATAAATTGTTATCACTGTTTCCCTGTTTTCAGACTTGTAGGTTTGTTTTACTTTAAATACTCCTATTATCTGTCTTAAGTTCTGGGTAGTGATGTCTTGTATGGTAATCTCAGGTTGTTGTCTGCTGTTAGTTTTCAGGCCAAAGAACACCCTTTAGCATTTTTTATAAAATTAGTCTTGTCGTTAAAAATTCCTTTAATTTTTGTTTATCAAGAAATGCCCTGATTTTGCTGTTGCATTTGAAGGAAAGCTCTTCTGGGTATATGATTCCTTTTTTTTTTTTTCTAAAAGTTTTTATTGTGTATTGAGTGAAAGTTTACAGGACAGATCATCAGTTTTACATTCAACAAATCATACACCTTGTTTCATTACAGTGATTATAATCACTTCCATGTACCTTCAGTTAACAGTATTTTTCTCTATTCACTTTAGCTTTTTTTAAAAAATGAAAAACAATAAACAATCAGGCATATATAATAATTTACACATCCAAAGGGCACATTCTTCAAGTCTGCCTCCTGGACACCAGCTCTTAGTCTCTCTCTTCCCATGAATCTAGAATCCTCAGCCGCTCCCTATCTCCATGACCCCATCTCTGCCACCATCTCTGGCTTCGCTGCTTCTCTGGATAAGGTCCCGCATTCTGCTTGTGCTCTTCTCCTTTGATGGTCCTAGGGTCCTCTGTTTCTGGACTGTAAGATTAACCACTCTCCTGTTTTTGTTACAAAATTTCTACCTTTACAATTGTGACAGTCACAATTAGTCATGATAACAATTATTCACTATTGAATCATACAAATCTTATCCTCATCTCTTTTCACCATACCCATCTAGACAAGATGAAAACTATTCATTGGGGACTCTTTTTCCCCCTCCCCCCCATACTTTTTTTATTTAATGTTTTATTGTGAATTATGTGATAGTTTGCAAGGGAGAACATTAGTTTTACATTCATTCTGTCGTATATCGTTTCATTGCCATTCATTGTTACAGTCCCCTCCATGCATCATCAACCAACCAAAGGGTATACACTACAAGCCTGTACCCCGGTCATCAGCGCACAGCCCCTCTCCCTCTCTGGATCTAAAGTCTCCAGCTGCTCCTTCTCTGCATGTCATCATCTTTGCCTCTGTCTCTGGTGTCCCTGCTTCTCTGTGTAGGGTCCTGCTCTCTGCTCTTCTCCATTGATGGTCCCGGGACCTCCGCTCCTAGACTGAAATGTTAATCATTCCCTTCCTTGCTATAAAACATCTACCTTTACATTTCCAACCCTCACAATCAGTCTTGATAACAGTTATTCACTATTGTATCACAAGAGACCTATCTGCATTTCATTTAATCAGCCCCACCTAGACAGGTTGGATACTACTCACTGGAGATTCTACCTTCCCCAATGCCCTCTGGATCTAGGATCCCTCTTGAAAGCTTGCAAGCCAGTCACTTCTTGACTTTGTAGCACCCCTCACCCCCCCACCCCCATTTGGGTAACCAGTGTCCAAGTTGCCCATCCTTGTCTACTCTGTATGTGGAGGGGGTGGGAATGATCCTTGCTGTAAGGATTTGTTTCCTCTTTTGAGCTACTACATCCATAGGTAAAAGTCAGGTATATGATTCTTGATTGGCATTTTTTTCCCTCTCAGAGTTTTGTATATGTCATTGCCTTCTTGCCTGCATGATTTCTGCTGAGAAATCAGAGCTTCGTTTTACTGGTTTTCCTTTGTAGGTAACTTCTCATTTTTCCTGAACTTATCTCAGGATTCTTTCCTTGTCTTTGGTTTTATGAAGTTTGATTTTGATGTCTTGGTGATTTTCTTAGGAAATCTTTATTGTTTGGGGCTTGTTCAGCTTCTTCTATGATTATCGTCTCAGCTTTCATGATGAGGATGGGAGCTGACCACACCTCTGATTGATCAGTGGAGCATGGAGAAAAAGAAGAAATGCCACCTTTTCTGTCACCTATGCTAATGTGTTCTGCCTGTGCTGCCAAAGCTGCTGCCAAGGTGGCGGAGCTGCATCTGGCCAGTCAGTCTCCCTCTCTCGCCGTCCTGGCTCATCCTTTCCTCCCAGCAAGCACTCTGTCTACCTCTCAGACCTTTCTTCTGAAGTTCTGTGTCTGTTTTATTTGGTCCTTTTTATCTTTGTTGTAGAGGGTCTGTGTAGTATATCTGCCCAGTTCATTGTCTTGTCAGAAGTCGTAGATAAAAAAATATTTTTGTGGTAGTTGATATTTAATACCTCACATGGTAGAGTAAGTAATGAAGGAAACTGCTCTCTTGTTCTTAAATTTGGCTTTAATTGGCTGGGAATATGAAAGTGACAGGAAGCTTGGGAGAAAGTGACCACTCATTCTAGATGAAGTAATGACTTATTCTAGATGAAGTAGTTAATTGTTGTTGTTAAAGTGCCATTGAATCGGTTCTGACTCTTGTTGTTGTTGTAAAGTGCTGTGGAGTCAGTTTCTGACTCATAGCGACCCTGTACAGGGTTTCCAAGGCTGTAAGTCTTTACGGGAGCAGAAAGCCTCATCTTTCTCCCACAGACGAGCTAATAGTTTCGAATTGCTTACCTTGCGGTTCGCAGCCCTATTTATAACCACTATGCTACCAGAGCTCCTTAGCGACCCTATAAAGGGTTTCTGAAGCTGTAAATCTTTTCAGGAGCAGAAAACCTGATCTTTCTGATGTGGCACTATGAGTTGATGCACTGTATTGCATGTCAGAACCCACTCAACGGCACGTAACAACAACAACATAGGTTTTCCAAGGAGCAGCTCGTGAGTTTGAGCCACCAACCGTGCTTGTGGTTTAAATCAACATTGCAGTCCAGTGCTTGCCCTACAGCACTACACAGATATATATGTATTGTATACTCTAGGAAAGCCAATTTCAAACTAAGTTGGATAGTTATACCTTCACAAAGTGAAAGATATTCTAAGTGGAAATATAGGTCCTAGAAAGAGTACACCATTAATAAATGAAAATTTAACTATAATCATAAATGTTGCTATGAAAAGAGCCATTTAAAGAAACATAAATTGCCAAAGTTTCCAGATAATTCTCTATTTAAAATTAATATTCACAGAGGGTAACAGAGCAGCTAATAACTACATATGAGTGTATATTAGAAATTCAGAAGCAATGATTACTTAGTATTATCTGCACTGGGTTCTTTTTCCATCTTAAGATCTGCAGTGTACTGAAAGTTCCCAAAATGCTAGAGAAAAATGACTCTCTTTAACTCATGTATAGAATAAGGAGTTACTGTCATTAAGTGCAGTTGAGTCCATTCTGACTCACAGCAACCTTGTGTAGGGTTTCCTAGGAATAGCTGGTGAGTTTGAACCACTGA